AAAAGATTAAGTTCATGTTCAAATCAAAGAGTATAGACTATCTTGATCAGACTGTCGCATCACTGAAATCATGGCGAATAAAAGGGACTTATCCCAATATAACCTTATGCTAAATGAAATATTACACTTTACCATAATTTACCCAGATATTCATAGAATTTATATATAATCGATTCTCATTTGAAGAACCGGTCAGACCCCAACCCGAAGGCCCCCCTTTTGGCGCAAAGACCTGATACAGAAAAAACAGTTGCGATGTCAGGGGATGGGAGAGCAAGTGACTATCCAGTGGTGAATGGAGGGAGCGAGCTAAGGAGCTATGGCTATTCATATTATTTCATATTCCCTTTTTTGAAATGGGGAGCCAAGCTAGTCGGAGCTACGAGTTGAGTTTCCCAACCACATTCCAATTTTTATTGAAAAAAGTTTGATACAGCACTCCTTGGTGGCTTATCATTTCTATAACCACATTCCAATTTTTATTGAAAAAAGTTTGATACAGCACTCCTTGGTGGCTTATCATTTCTATAGTTGGTGGGTAAATTTCATCACGACCTCACTGTCCTCCCGAAGCCTGGAAATCATGGTTAGTAAGGGAAATCATCCCCAAATGGCCGAACAATTCAGGTTATATAGTGACATATTATAATTTACCCAGATATATAATTGGTGTATGGAATATTTCATGGGGTTATTTATGGATAGAGTCGTTTTTTCACCGCAAAAGAAGCACATTTTTTTTCGCCGCAACCTTCGACTGGGAAAGCATCTCCAAAAACTCTGCATCCTGCAACCTTGGCTCAAAGCTTTTTGAGGGGGGAGAGTGAATGAAACACAGCAACGATCAGCGACAGTACCCTCTGGTAATTTAACATAGCTATTGACAATGGCCATTTATAGTGGATTTTCCCATAAAAAATGATGATTTTCCATAGTTACGTTAAATTACCAGAGGGTATCTAAAAACAAGGACCTCACATACAGATTCATGAATCATAGCCGGAGGAAGACCATCTTTTTGAATCTATTACCAAACCGATTCAGTATTTGGACATGTTAGAATTGTTCATTGTTCATAAACATAGATGTCCAAATAGTGAATCCGTAACATATAATATATCATACAATTCATTGCTATCCTTGTGTCATATCCGTAACATAGAAATCGGCTATATGTTATAAACATGTCCATATCATAGCAATACATGATACGTTCACTGTGTCACGCTGATGTAATTCACCCCAGGGCTGAGAGGACATGTATCTTGCTTCGGAACATTTCGTAACCCGGTGGCTGGTTATCGCACTACATTCCACTTATAAGATCTTATAAGATCTTATAATTGGGTTATAACATATTATATATTTGGTTATAAGTAGGATTATATTATGTTATAACCCAATTATAACCTAATCATCCAAAACTTCAGCTCCAACTGAAGCGCATTGCTGCGCCTTGCTTATGCAAGTGCGATGCCGCCGCCTCCTCATGAAGGTGCGCAGTTCTGCTGTTCTACCCGGTGTAAGCTGGGTGAATTCCTGGTAGTAAGTGGAGTGATGTTGAACATACGTATCATAAATGAAGTGATCTTGAAACATTGTATATAGTATAATTTATAGAATATCTATAGAATATAACCTATATAATATAATATCATATATTTAGTATAATATAATTTAATATGATATAATATAATATATAATATAAAATTTATAATATCTAATATATAATATATAATATATAATTTATAATATATAATATATAATATATAATTTACAATATATAATATATAATATATATCATTTATAATATATATTTTATAATATAAAATAGATTATATTTGATATATATAATATATTATATTATATTATATTATATTATATTATATATAATGTAATATATATAATATTATATATATATATATTATACAATCAGTATTAACTATGTGTATGAGGGTATCCATCAATATGGGAATATCATGGGATCTAATTGGATCTAACTATAACTAGGCAACTTGATAAGATATGATAAGATGGGACCATTCTGATCATTTAATATTTTATTTTATATAAGCGATAAGATGTTGACTAATCTCCAATAAGATGTTCTTGGCAATCTAAGCATGCTTTAATAAAATGAATTACAAACATGATGGAAAACCGGATTTTCACATGATTCCACATCTTCTAACCATCTATAATTTAATGGGAATATCATAACATATAACATCAGATTATCAGATGATCATAAGATGGGAATAGATGGGGTACCTTATTATAATGGGAATAGATGGGATATGATATTTTTAAGATGGGATAAGATCATAGATAAAACTTAGTTGTTCAAAAAACAACATAAGATATCTTTTCCTCACTATGATAATAGTAAGATATCCCATCATCTTCAACATCATAGATCATAGATTATCATACCCAAATGCTCCATAGTGCTGGAATATTTACCAACATTTACCCCAAAAAATCACCCAGTTTTGTAGGTTTTAGTATACCAGCACCATGGCTTTCATATCCCATGACGGATCCGGCTGGTGCTGGCATATATGCTAACATGGATCCCATCAATATACCCCAGTCATGTTAGCATATATACCAGCACCATGGATCCTATGGGTACGGTATGTTAGTATGGATCCGTCATGGCTATGGGATAGTTGGGATCAACGGATGTCCGTTCGCCTCGCGTTCGCCTCGCCAGCTGCGGCGCATTCCTCCAAGATGCGGCCGCTGCCCTCGGTGCACGGCGTCCTGTCGCCGGAGGTCTGCGTTTCTTGGCACGGGATGGAGCCTCTGGAGATTCGTTGTGGTTTTTCGTTGTGGATCTTCGTTGCGGGTTTTAATGGACTTATAATGGGTTTTAATACATTTTTTTATGGGTATTTCAGCAACTTCATAGTGATTTGAGGGGTAACATGAGATTTTTCAAGAGTTTTCCATCTTTGGGAGGAAGAAGATCCAGAACAACCAATGATTTGGGATATTTTGTGGGTTTATCGGTTTATCATTTCTTTTTTGAGCCTTGTTAACCAGTTTCGGGATAAAGCCCGGTTTCCCAACCTTGACATTGGCAAACAGCCTAGCGCTCACCTAGAAAAATATCGGAATATCACCAAGAAGTATCTGGAATATTACCCTCCGGTAAACTAACATAACAATGGAAAATCACAATTCTTAATGGAAAATCCACTATAAATGGCCATTTTCAATAGCTATGTTAAATTACCAGAGGGTAACCAGAAACCACAGCAAAGTTCAATGGATGTTCCCATCCCACTGGCCAGTCACTGAAGAATTGGAGGAAATTTTCCTGGCGAAGCAACACACGAATTTTTTTCGGCCGTGTTCTCGTGTTCTTTCTACAGAAATGGGTGGGAGCTGATACCCTCTGGTAATTTAACAGTTTGCTATTGAAAATACCCCATTTATAGTGGATTTACCTATTTAAATTGGTGATTTTCTATAGCTATGTTAGTTTACCAGAGGGTATTATGAATGACTTGGGTGACGAGTTGCTTGGTGAGCTCGACGGGTCATCAACTTCATCCCATCATTTTTCCAGTGCCGGAGTAACCCGGGTGGCCAGGATGGGATGCTGGTGAAATCCTCCAGCCCAAAACATTGATTCCAGATGATAACCCGACTGATTTAACATGATTTAACTATCACCGACTGATAGTTCAACAACATTTTTTTGTTTAAACATATGAATTTATAATCCACCATAAATGAGGCATTAAACATGTGCATTACATAGTTCTTTTCATAGCTAGAAGCCATCCTTTAAAACAAATACCATTAAAAAACCACATGTGTTGTTGGTGAATCCATGTGATTCCAGATGTGAGCCGAGGCCAAGGCCTTTTTTTCGACGACCTCGGGGGATACGATGAGGCTGGCTCCATGTCTAAACTTATCATGGGCTTATAAGTATCATAAAAAATCATAAAGCACATAGCCAAATTGGAGTACTATAAGATACTATGGATGTATCTTTATATATATATATACTCATTTGTTTTTTTTTGAATGTTCCTCTCAATTTGATTTTCCCTTTCTCCCTGCTGCTCACGTACAAAGTTACCCTTCACATGACACTGGCGGCATAGGAACCACTTTGCTGAGAATCCCATCAATGCCCAGATGGCCAGGACAGATCAAACTTGAGCGTTCATTGAGGGGCCAAAAACGTCACCTTCTGGTGGTAAAATAACGGGCCCCGACAAAAGGTGCTATTGTAGAAAGAAACCCCGTTCTGGGACCATAGCAACCGCCAAAAAGGTAGAACACATTGAAACCTGGAAAACATGGGGACACCATCATCTATATACCATGCTGGAAACACTCTTCTATCATTTTCTATCTTTTTGTTGGGTTGCTATAATCATTGATGTCATCCAATTGCGATCCCTTTGTGATCTTGGGGGATCTATTTGTTGTGATATGATTCTTCCCCCTACATAGATTATGTTTGTTTGTGAAGAATCCAAACAGGTCGTTTTAGTTTCAAAATAAGCACAGAAACGCATGTTCAATTATCAGATGTTTGACAACATCTTTCAGGGGGACACATTCTCACGTTGCTTCTAATTCGGACAAGTGATTTGCGACCCGCACTGCAGGGTTTGCCTCAAGGGAGGGTTGACGCAGGGTCAAACGGTCTAGCATCTCAAAACTTTCGGATGCTTTCGATTGGTTTATTCTCTACAAAGCTATCGAAAGTAAATGTATTCCACAGGAACATGTATTGTATGTATATTCCACAGGAACATCTATAGGATGTATGTAAATTACATTACATATCATTACATTATTCCACAGGAACAGTATAGGATGTATTCCACATTATCTACAAAGCTGATTTTGTGGAACAAATGGTTTTCCCTTTTCGCTTGCGCAGCGGGTTTTTCCTGGGTCGCGGTGGCTGTGATCAGCTGGCTGTATCCATTCTATATCAGTCTATCCCATCAAAAGTCTATACGCATATATATGTATATATTAATATAAATATATATATATATACATATTAATATTAATATATATGTGTATATATTATATGCAGTATATATGAATTGTTGCTGATATTCCCATTATATCCCCAGACGGTTTTGACATTGTTCAGGTTTCTCGTACTTATGCATATATATATACATTGTTTTTGTTATGTATATAATTATATATTGTCAGATTGCATATAGTAACTATGATCACAAAAAAGACAGACAAGTCAACATCAGAATTTTTGTAGGAGTCCACTTTTCTATTTTGTTTCCTGGATTACATCGGAGTACTACATGTACACATATATGATATTCCCAATGATGGGCAGCATTGGTACAATCTGGTGAAGTTACTATATTCCCAATTACTCTATCGAGATATCTCTATATATGATATTCCCAATTGTCAATGGTATATTTCTATATATATATGAAAGTTCCTTCTTCATTGATATTCTCAGGGATTATATTGGATTATCAAATGTAGATTTCGCAATTATCAATGGTGTATTCGTGGTTTCCCTTCGTTTCCTTCGTGCAGGAGTTCGTCCTTTCAGTCCATTCGAGAACCTCCCAGGAGATTTCAGCCCTCGGGCGCCAGGAAGCACAGAAAAGGGCCGGCGACAGCGGGTCGATGGAGATGGATCTGGATTTTATGGGATTTCATGGAAATGGAATAGGGAGTTGATGGGATTTAATGGGATTTAATGGGATTTATGGATTTAATGGGCATTTAATGGGATGTGATGGGATTTAATGGGGATTATCGACTTGAGCTATGGCGTCAAAAAACCACCGTTGATGATTAGTTCGTGGATGATCATAAATTGGGATGCACCCAATGCCATAAACCTGCTGGGTGGGGATGGTTTAATGGGACAATTCACCATGTTTAATGGGAAAATTCACTATTTCGACTGGGCCATTTCCAATAGCTATGTTAGTCATTACCAGAGGGTACCACATCAGACTTGGACAAAGTTTTTTTCGAGATTGATGTCTGTTTTCTTTTTTGGTGAGGGTTTACGGGGCTGATTTTGTGATTCAGAAATGGGGAAAGTCTACTTCCAGCTGTGTTCGTTGTTCGGGTTGCACAGTAGACTAGTAGACTACAGGTACTACAGGGCTAGTGTGCCCCCACTGACAGTAAAAACTCAGGCCAATCACAGATCCTAGCTCTCGCGGTTTATAGTAGAGACACGGTTCATCATCCCAGCACAACCGTGCCCGGGATATACTGCACCTGGACATATTATAATTACGATATATACGCGGGAATACCCCAATACAGAGCCTTCGAACAATGGGCAAAATTATGATGTCTGATACATCAATTGATTTTTTGGACAGGTATCCTATCTTCTCACAACCCCATCTTACATGTCTGATTATGTTAGTACTTCATCTGTGCAAAAACATATGGGTCTGAGAGCCCCAGTGCTCCACTGGTTCATTAGCATTTTCCCTGCAAGAATTGCAATGTCTGGGCAAATCCCATATGTTCAGCCATTCCCAAATGAACAATATTGCTGATGCCATATCCCTGAACATATCATATTGGATATCTCCATGAACCACCATTCCCCAGAAAAATATATCCAACACCATCCCCACTACGGGTACCAAGCCCGGCCATTGCCTGGCTACGAGGTGGATAGCGGCATGAGACGTTCCATGTGTACCTATCACTCCACCTTCACGCCCTGCTCTCTGGATGCCTTCGGTCCGACCAATGAGCTGCGGGAGCTGTACAAACAGCAGTCCCGCGGGGCAGGCGCGGGTTGTCCGCTGGGGTGTAGGTTTTAGGTGGTGCCCTTGAAGAAGTTCGTGAAATGTTCGGTTGATGTTACCTTGTCTAACTGATCCAACTCTAGTGGTTCACATGGCAAAATCCAAGAAACATGATCTGCATTTATGGCGGACTTTCAATCTCTATGTATATATAGTCTACTAGAGAACAATCTGGATGACAAGCGGAAGAAATTGGACCTTGGTTCTTTTCTTGCTTGGTGGTGAGCTGTTGCTCCCTTTGAATTCGGGGGGAATTCGGGATGTTTGGAAGAAGTTCACCAGAAAGTTATGGTTGTTTTTGATGGGGGCTTTGTATTTCTTAACTCAGCAGTACTTTTCAGTTTCCATCCATAGCAAACACGGGGAAAGGCAAGTCAGAAGTACTGCTGTTGCACAGCTTTCGGACCATGAACTAACCTGACTCCCAAAGACATCACCTGCACATATGGATAATGTATGACAATGTCAGCCTGGGATGTACTAAAATGGTGGCCCAATGATCAACAGCCGGGTAAACATTCATCCAACCGCCGATATCTTGAATATCTTGAATCATCCATGGCTTCTCCCCAGGTATTTTCTTTCAACCCAATTGTAAGCTATGGAAAATCAATGAATTATGATAGGTAAACCATGGTAAAACATCGAATTCAATAGGTCATATGCTCCATGTATGGTATATTTACCAACATTTGCCCTAAAAATCACCCAGTTTTGTAGGTAAATATACCATACATGGAGCATATGGGATAGGCCATGGCTTGCCCATGTTCGTTTACTGAGTCTGGCAGGTGCCAACACTCCGAAGCCGCCACTCTCATCCGTTTGGGGACCTAGAGCTGATGGAAGGATCCAAGTGGTGTAATTATATAAATATATATATATAATATAGAGAGAGAGAGAGAGAGTGAGAGAGAACCAACCATAACCGTAGCCATGATAGTAATTTGACGCTGTAATGACCTGTAATGACCATATAAAACCATTTACAGATACATTTGCCATACTTAGATAGACGTAATATGACAGAACCAAGAAGGATCCCAGACCAGCCTCATGCATGGTATATCTGTAGATACATTCGGGTCGTTTTTCGGATAAACGCTGGCAACTATCCCACACATTGAGTGTAGGGGAAGTTGGGATATTCTTGTGCGCAACCTCAGTTGCGACCCCACCAGATACTCCTCACAGGTGTTTGCAGGTGTTGACTGCTAGATTGACATGTGATCCCTGATAGGTTTGATGAATTACTTGATAATGACTACCCTAGTTGTAATTTGCTTCATAACACCATCTACACCCAACTATATAGCTATTTCATCGCCATAATTCCTAGTGAAATATGATTGAACTAATCATTTTAACGATTTAGTTCACTGGGGCACCACCTTGTACCTTTTCCTGGTGGCCCTCGTACCCACGGGCCACTTGCACATGGCGTTCCCCTTCAGGTAACGACTACAAAGTCCTCGTACCCGGCCTATGTGCGCACTGGGTACCGATTGGAGGGTCTTGGTGATTCACCTTGATCGTAAATTGGTCAGTATCCAAGACATATTGGTGTATCGATTATTAGCCATACAAGGCCAATATATATATATATATGTCTGATTGGTGGTTTGGAATATTTTTTATTTTTCCATATTGGGAATAATCATCCCAACTGACTTTCATATTTTTCAGAGGGGTTGAAACCACCAACCAGATGTGTTTGCCATTATGGATGGTTGCATAGCATAGTGCCGTGGTGGGGCGGAAGTTTCCCAAGATCGCTATCCAACTAAAGTTTTCTCTGGAAGTTTCCCAGTTTTCTGGGGAATGTGTCAAAACCCTGTATACGTCAACATCACAACAGCTGGAAAGTCGATGTTCATGCACCCAAATGTATCATATCATGGGTGTTGATCCAACCTGACTCGGGTCGCTGTTCTGGTACTTTTGGAGCCGGGAAACCCACAACTCAGCTTGAACTTGAGACGATTCCCTCAGCTTCTGAATATCAGCACAGAATAACATATACTTATATTTAATTTAAATTGATATAGAATATAATGGTATGTTCATCATATTTGGGTTGTTCATTTCACTTATCAACTGGCTCCATTATAACTGCAGCAGAAAAACCCTGGGAATGTTAGTTTTACTTACTCATCAGAGTTCGCAACACTGAAGGTTTCTGACGTGGGCCCACATTTGTAGCCCACATTTGTAGCCCATGTTTTAAATTTTGGGTTCCATCAGTGGCAATCGAACCTGGCACAGAGAAATCTATTTCACATGATGGAAAACTCATGGAAAGTAGATGAACATGATGTTATTCAATATTAAATCTGCATTAGTTTTCCATCATGTCAAATATAATGGCACTGGAACAACTATAAAATACTATAAATGGGGAATGCAATGTTGCTATGTAGATCACCAAAAAAAAAAGCCGAGGGACTGCCATATTCTGGCAGGTATCACTCCATCAACGCTGGACATGGAAAAAAATGATATGGCACATACTTGATAAAATCAGAATAATTTTCCCAATGTGCTAATTTTCCGTAGATTTTCCAATGACATGTTTTAATCATTTGGAGATTATTCTCTTGTCAAACATGTGGATTTCCCAACGCAAAGCTAGATTCCCGTTTTGGGGCATCCCAAAAAACAAGTGTGGAACAAACTGTCATTGTTTCATCCCATTTTGTTGGTTTAAAACCACTTTTGACGTTTGTTAAAACGTTCACGTTTGTTAGTTCAAATTTCTTCAAATCGAGTTTTGAGGCTTATAACTTGTAAGTTCCTCTCTACTAATCAAACATGGATTGCTGAAAAATGGCCACGCTAGGACCCAGCGTCGGCCGCGTCGGCCAGTTCAGTGCTGGGCCAAAACCAAAGGCCTTATGAGGTGCAGTCGGGGAAATGATGTCATGTCCCTGGAGACTTTTGTACTTTTGTGTGTGTTTTTTTTACAAATAAGGTGACTATCCAAAAAGTTTTGTGTGGACTTATTTATTATGCTCAATTTGAACATATTCAAACTAAGTCTAAGTGTTTTATATTTTTTTAAATATAGACTTAGTTCTTTCAAACTTTATTCCAGAACTTAAGGCAGCTAGAAATAGACGCTTTATACGTCCATCCTGATTTAGGTTCTAAGGCTAATAAGTTGCTGGATGGCAAGGTAAACCCAATAATAACCCATCACCCCAACATGAAATGCCTCCCTGACAAATTTCATTGGGTGATGAATCTAGTTAATCTATGGGGAATGGGAATTAGGATGTATTGAATCTATTCATTGAATCTAAATCCATATACTATTCTTGAATATTCTGGAAATCATACATTTTTTGAATGAATTTTGAAATCCATCTACTATTTTTTTTGAAATCATTGAAGATTGAATCTATACCTTTTTTGGGAACCATCTGGGCGTTTTTCAACAGTGGATGGGATCAATGAACCATCGTCATGGAACTGGCCGGTAGTTTCATGGGCCATCTGGCTCTGGAGGTGGGGTAAACCATGGTAAACCGTTTGGGATGTTTAAGGACCAACGGTGCCATAAACAGTCAATTTGGATAGGGAAAAGTCGGAAAAGATGGCGAAAGCCACCGGATGGGTCTTCCAACAACCCTCGCCCCCGCCTATGGTGTGGAGGGGTGGCGGGGTATGTTGTCTCTATGGTGATGGGCTTCCCGTACGACTCAAGATCGAAATTGTCTCTAGCTAGGACGCACTATGACTTCAGCATGTTCTGTCAGATGCTTCACATTCCTGCGTGTGCCGCTTTCTATTTGAAATAAAATGGCAACAAGTTTGGAATGACATTGAATTATTTTGAATGAAAATGGATTTTCAAATCACATAAATCATCTTCATTTGGAGTGTCCCAAGTCCCTATGCCAGGCATGTCCCCCTCCATAGGTCCCCTCCATGCCATTTTTACCGCCAGGCAGTCCATGTGGATCCATCGGCCAAATTCCTGGAGACGAGCTCAGTGCTGCACCGCGACTTTCGCAAATTCGATCAGAAACAGATGCCGGGGGGGCCCAAGGGGCAGGATTTTCGTGGTGGAGAGATGATGAGGAGAGATTTTTTTTTACGCATTTTGATTGAGATTTCAACAAAGATTGGGATTTTCACAACGGTGGATGAGTATTCTGATAAGCCTTTTTTGTGGTTCACAGTGACGATATCTGATTTTTGTTGTGGCATCAAATTCCAAGTCAGATTCTTTGTGAAATCAACGAAGATATGGATTTTTCATCACTGCATCACTGCCCACTGCAGGTTTGTTTGTCAAAAATCAAGGTCACCAGAGCTCACAACATCGTGGTTTGCTTGGGCTTGGTATATTTTCCGAGATGTCCGCAAACACTAACCATTCATGTGTAGTAGCTAATAAAATAGCATGAGAGCTACGGCAACGTATATATATAATTATATATATATACTCACATAACATGCTTGTTTTTTTCTTTAAATCTAACCATGACATGATTGGCATATGCATGAATATTCCATAGATATCCCACTTGAACTGGTCCCTGGCACCTGACCCTGGGGACCCTTGCAGGCGCCGGGCCCACATGAAACCAGCCGCCCCACCTCGTGAAGCCAAGTTGTTTTTTGGGCGCAAAACGGGGTCTGTGGGATTTGATGCTCAAGGAAAAATCAAAGAATTCTCCAAATGATACTATACCAGATACCATATACTACGTATCAAAACATGAGAGAGTCATGATACAGTATGATATGTTCTTTATTGTTATATCACCATTATATCATTATATAACTATTCACTAGTGGTTTGCAGTTGATACTTGAAAAAATATGACAAAAACCATCAAAAACCTACCTCTAAAGGTCGAAGCCTTTGTCGAACCTTATTTGATGGCCATTTGGGGGTATATCACATCTTCAACTCAGATGAAGGTTCTTAACTGGTTGGTGGTTTGGAAGATTTTTTCCATATATATGGGAATACTAATCCCAACTGACTTTCATATTTTTCAGAG